TTGCCCCCGCCATGGGAGGGGGGGGTTGGCCCCGGGACAGGCACATGAGGGGTTTCCCTGCGCCGCGAAGGGGAAGGGAGAGTCGGGCCCGGAGGAGGCATGTGCTGGCTTCCCTCTGGGGGCGGGGGGAGAATCCTGGGAGGAGGCAGATGCAGGGGACTCTCTGCTGCCACTGGCACCCTGTCCCCACTCCCCAGACCCTACTCCCCTGTGCCCAGCTACAGAACTCTGTCCCCATTCCCGTCCCCACTCCCCAAACTCTGTCCCACTGGCATCCTGTCCCCTGCTGCAGAACCCTGTCCTCTGCCCTCCCAGCACCCTGTTCCCTCTCCCCTGCTCCCAGCTGCAGAACTCTGACCCCACAAAATGCATAATTATAAATGCTTCATTTTAGATTTAAATAGCATGAATAAAAAACAGACCATTTATTTCATAACTATAAACACGTTATTTTAATTTTCTATATTGCATAATTTAAAAATAAACTGTTTATCAGAGTGTGTAAGTAAGGGCTAGGGATAGCAAGTGATGGACAGGAGGAGAATAGAGAGGGCAGGTCTTCAAGGAAGGGGCAGGGCGGTAGATCTTCGCCTGTTCTGAGATTTAAAAAGTGATCGTCAGTGTAAAAAGTTTGGAGACCACTGTTCTACAGTATTCTGTAAGTTGTGAAATATTGGGTGAGATTTGTTTAGTTTTCATGGACATTGTTTGTAGAGAAGAGTTGACATTCAGTCAGAACTCTCTTTCTGCAGCATACTGATAAACCCTCTAGAGATTGTATTCATGTCATCTTGGATTAATATACTTTGGTTTGTGTTCAGGTTTAATTTATACATTCCTGTGTGTATCTTAAATTATAATATGTACTGACGTCTGGCCCATAGAGTTCAACATGTAGAGTCTTACCAAATTCATGGTCCGTTTTGCTCCATTTTGAGGTTGTAAGATTTTAAGAATTGTAAATTTGATTTCAGTTGTTTACAATTACAACATTGTGAAATTTCAGAGTTAAAAGAGGTTTGACCCCAATAAAGGTGTTTTGGCAGGGAGAAGTAGCAGGGTTATTTTAGGAAGGTTGCAGTACTGCTACACTTCTGTGTTGCTTCTGGCAGGGCACTGCCTTTAGAGCTGGGTGCCTGGCTAATAGTTGCTGCTCTCCAGCTGCCCAGCTCTGAAGGCAGCATGGAAGTAAAGGATGGCAATATGGTGACCTACTTAAAATACCATACAAAAGCCATGAGGTGTCCTGTGGCACCTTATAGACTAACTGAAGTGTTGGAGCATAAGCTTTCGTCGGCAAAGACCCACTTCGTCAGATGTGTGTAGTGGAAATTTCCAGAGGCAGGTATTAATATGCAGGGCAGAATCAGGCTAGAGATGAAGAGGTGGATCCAATCAGGGAAGATGAGGCCCACTTCTATTCCAAGAGAGGAGAAGCTGCTTTTGTAGTTAGCCAGCCATTCACAGTCTTTGTTTAATCAAAGACTAAGGCTAGCTAACTACAAAAGCAGCTTCTCCTCTCTTGGAATTCACCCCTAGTATAGGAGCCAAGTGTCAGATAAATGTCTGTAGCCTAGGTAAATGTATAAATAAAGCATTAGAGTGTTCATCTTTCATCCATTATGTTTTGTCAACTGTGTAATATGAGTTCACATTTTAAAAAAGTGAAGTATTTGAAGAGCACTGAAATTTTAGGTTTAGGATACAAAATCTATACTGCAGGTTCATCTGCTTTGCTTGATCAGTGTCTTGCATTGCTTTTATGTGCAATAATATTGTAGGTATTTGTCTTGCCATAAAAAAGTATATGGATGAAAACAGATATTGAGAGCTTAATTTAATTAGTTTTACCTATACAAGTTGTTAGATGATGTGGGGGTGATCCTTCACAATGCAGTGGCACTTAATCTTATCTACACAGGAGAATTAATTCCAGTTAGCTGTTATGCTTAAAAGAAGCACATGGGATCTTTTTCAGGGCGATAAGGCAACATACCGTATTAACTGAGCATAGATAGATCAATAAATGCTTTATCATATGCATATGATACAGTACATGCATACTCCATCTTGTTACTAATAGTTGCTTCCCCTAACTGCACTGGCCAAGTGAGTTAGATGGGGAGGGAGTGGAGCCGGGCTTCTGCTGA